ATATATATGTATGTCTGTGTGTTTATGAGATTTCAAGTTGATCTTTTACCTGCATTGAATGAATCATTTCTTTGGTGAAACGATAGGGAAACAAGATGTTGTGAATTTTAACCGCTAAGCTCTCCGCCTGGCCACTGCTCACATCAACGGCAACCTACAAAGACCCAGCAAAAACATCATTTGAATTTTAATTTTTTATACCTTCAGAACTGTTTTACAAACGACCTCAAAGTGCTTTAAAAATATTCATTTTCATATAACCTCGTAGAGGTGGGGTAAATTCAGGAATCTTAGAGAAATTCAAAAAGCTCTATGAATAATTAGTCTTAATAAACGATAATTTTTTTATTTATAATCAAAAATTACTGACAGAAACTGACAAAACCCAGTATGGTTTCAGAACGATTTTTCTCTGTTCCATGATCAAACCCTTGAAGAGATCATTAACTGGAGAATCAGTACTCAAACATTTGCTCATCTGTTACCCTCATTACAACACACACAGTACAATCTGTGATAATACACAAGGAGAGAATGTACACCCAGGTCCAATGACGAACTGTTCCTGCAGCAGGAGATTCACTACTTTATCTAATGATAATAGTTTTATTATCACCACCCTGAATACTTTGCCAAAGCTGCCAGTGAGAGTCTGTAAGAGCAGCAAAGACATTCACTATCCACGAATTGATTATATTTGTTTAATCCAAAATGCCTGAGTTTCCAAAATGCTACAGATTTGATTCTTCCACTCCACATTAAACATTAATTTCAAAATAAATTATTTGGAAATATGTCCAGTTTCCATTCATAATTACAAATCAGTATAGTTATTCATACCCATATCTAGCTTCTATGAAATTCATATTTTATTTTCATTTTTATTTAGGTTTTGTTTTTTTTTTAAGGTTCTTACTATGTTGCCCAGGCTGGACTGCAGTGGCTATTCATTGGCACAATCATGGCCTCAAACTCAGGGGCTCATATGATCCTCCTATCTCCAGAGTAGCTGTGACTACAGGCACATGCCATTGAGCCTGGTTTGAAATTTCAATTTTAAGGCTGGGCATCATGGCTCACATCTGTAATCCTAGCACTCTGGGAGGCCTCTGTCATTCAGTCTCATCATAGTCCTCTCTGTCTGAGCTCTTGGAAGGAAAGGAAGAATAAGGTTGCTTCTAAAAGGATGACACTTGTACTGAGACCCTCAGGAGTTCAAGACCAGCCTGAGCAAGAATGAGACCCCATCTCTACTAAAAACAGAAAAAAAAAAAAAAATGACCTGGGTATGTTGGCACACACTTCAACAATCGCTTGAGCCCAAGAGTCTGAGATTGCTGTAAGCTATGACAACACAGCACTTTAGTCTGGAGCAACAAAGGGAGACTCTGTCTCAAAACAGAAGAAAAAATATTCCAACTTCAAAATAACAGGCAAAGAAAAAGTGTTGCAGACCTACCTCTGGATAACGGGCAAATACTGGATTGTCCCATTCTGAGAATAAAGACTGAAGCGATTTGCTACCAACAGCATCATCCACAGTATCTAGGGCAAAAGGAGAAGGGTTGAGTTGGCATCACAAGCCCCAGGGAAAAGAGGGAATGGCATCTCCTGTTTGGTGAGCTGCAGCCTCAGGGTCAAAGATCAGACACATTGTTCCTGTATTGTTACTGTTCCAAAAGTGTTACTGTTTGCTGAACCTCTAAATTGTTTGATCTGTTACTTTTTAAACTATCTTCTGGCATTACAGCTTTTCTCCAAACTGTTTACAATAGATATCTCATAATACAAGTCCAGTCATAAAGCAACTGTGGCTCAAATTCGTAGCCTCACTGCCTTTAGGTAAAGATACCTTATCTATTCTTAAAAAGAAATAAAAGAATAAGAGATGTCTAGATTGTTCAAAGAGTTCTGCTTAGATAAAACACTGTAACTGGAGTGCAACTCTAATCTTTTTAAGAATAAAAAACATTTCTCCAAACACAAGACACCACAGACCATGCATAATCACCGAGTATTGACCTCAAGTCTGGAAAAGTAATTTCTGATCTAAATGCATGTACTGAATTACTTAGTTTTGCTGTTGAACAGGGCCGTGGGGAATTCCTGGTTCCAGTAAGGCGCAGCTGGCACTGATCAAGCTTAACGCAGTCCTGCCCTGCTTTTTGTGGCACGGTATGTACTAGGTGCCCTGGGGTGTATTGGGTGCCCCTGTAGTCCCTGTTGCCCCTACCTCTGTCATTGTGTCTCATCACAGTCCTCTCTGTTCGAGCTCTTGGAAGGAAAGGAAGAACAAGGTTGCTTCTAAAAGGATGACACCTGTACTGAGACCCTAAATAATAAAAAAGAAAAACCTAGAAATTTAAAATTAAAACACAAACTACTAAAAATGAAATTACATAAAATCTCTGCACAAACTGAATCAAGACATAAGGCAAACTAATTAAAAATCAGAAGTTCTTTGATGACATTATTCTGTTAACTTTGGAATCTATACTAAGGCTTATTCCCATTATCCATGCATACCAGACAGAATAATGACCTAGATGAGGTCACGGTGATTCTCAATGAGTGCAATTTTACATGAGGGGACATTTGGCAATACCTTGAGACATGGAGCCTTTTTTTTTTTTGAGACAGAATCTCACTTTGTCACCCCTGGTTGAGTGCCATGGCATCATAGCTCACAGCAACCTCTAACTCTTGGCTGAAGTGATTCTCTTGCCCGAGCCTCCTGAGTAGCTAGGACTATAGGTGCCCACCACAATGCCCAGCTATTTTTAGAGATGGGGTCTCGCTCTACCTCAGGCTGGTCTTGAACTCCTGAGCTGGGCCTCCCAGAGTGCTGGGATTACAGGTGTGAGCCACCGCACAGGACCCTTGAGATATTTTTCCTTGTCACAACTTGGGTGAAAGGTGCTACTGGCATCTCATAGGTAAGGGTAAGATAATGCTAAACATCCTATGATGCATAGGACAAACCCTGCAACAAAGAATTACCCAAAGAAACCCTGTGTTTATGGTACTGAACTGTTACCCATAACTTGATGCACCCTTTACAAATCTCTAATTTATGTCTCTATTATAACATTTATCTCATTATAATTATGTTTAAATAGCTATCTTCCCTGAAGTGTGAACTCCTGAAGGCAAAATCAGTTAACCTTCAATATGACAGCACCTAGCACAATGTGAATGATCAACAAATACTGAAGGAACAAAAGAACAGATGAATGAATGAAAGGTTCTCATTTCACACTCCAAAGTCTAGAAGATCTGGCTCAAACTCTACCTTTCTCCCTGAAGGAAGATCAGATTTGAGTTTTAGAAATGGCTGAATTTAACAACTTTTGAACAGGAGCAAAACATAATGAAATTGGTATTTCAAAAAGAAAATCTATTGGACCAAAACTTAGGAGATTAACTAACAATGAAAAAAACTGAGTTAAAGACTTTTTTTTTTGAGACACAGTCTCACTTCATTGCCCCCAGTAGAGTGCCACTGCATCACTGCTCATAGCAACCTCAAACTCTTGGGCTCAAGGGATTCTCTTGCCTCAGCCTCCCAAGTAGCTGGGACTACAAGCGCCTGCCACAATGCCCGGCTATTTTTCGAGACGAAGTCTCACTTTGGCTCATGTGGGTCTCAAACCCGAGAGCTCAGGCAGTCCACACATGTTAGCCTCCCAAGTGCTGGGATTATAGGCTTGAGCCACTTCGCCTGGCCCTAAGTTAAAGACATTTTATTTTATTTTATTCTCCTTTTTTTGAGACAGGGCCCCACTTTGTCACCCTCAGTAAAGTACCATGGAATCACAGCTCACAGCAACCTCAAACTCTTGGGCTTAAGCAATTCTCTTGCCTCAGCCTCCCAAGTAGCTGGGACTACAGGCACTGGCCACAGCACCTGGCTATTTTTAAAGCGGTCTTGCTCTGGCTCAGGCTGGTCTTGAACCCATGAGCTCAGGCAATCTACCCACCTTGGCCTCCCAGAGTGCTAGGATTACAGGTATGAGCCACCACATCTGGCCCTGAGTTAAAGACATTTTAAAGAAAAAGTTACCAGGGCTGGGGCACTTGACACTACTTCTTAAAATGACCTTTACAAATCCTCTCCTCTGGACAATAACATTTCTCTCTTAACAGTGCATCTCATGTGACTGTTTCAGGTATGGTTCCACACTATTCTAATGTTCTGCTGTACATCAGTCATTTCCAGAAAGGTCACATCCCATGTGAACGCCAGGTGCTGAGGAGCCATCTTTTCATGGAACTTGATTCTGTACCAAAAATATTTTTCAGGACACCATAGGCGCCTCGTTGTTCCTGGAGTCCTGGAGTCTACCTCCCTGTCAACCTTTCTGCACTATGTCAGGTGGCCTCCTGAAGGTGCTGCGCAGCAACTCTTATGTGGAGCTGAGCCAGTACTTCTGGGGTGACAATGAAGAACAAGATCAATTACTGAAGAAAAGCTGTACACTGTATGTTGAAAATCTTTCCTTTTACACAACTGAAGAATAAATCTATGAATTCTTCAGCAAAAGAAAGAAAGAAAGAAATTCGTTCAAACTACAGTGTAAAAAGAAGTTTTAAAAATGAACAATATGTCATTAAATGTTTGCAAGTACTTTCTTTCTAATCACTTTAAAAAATTCCAATAACCAGTTTGAATTCAGTGAGAAAACCTACAAACACAAAACGTGTTCACACTGAGGTACTTCAACTTTCGTAAACTACTGGAAGTTAGAAAAAACTTTGTTGCTAAATGAAAAAAAAATCACATTTTTTTCCACATCAGGGAAAATTATACTAGACTTAACACCTTTTTTTTGTGTTAACAGAAAGAAAATCATCATGGCTCTGGATAAGAGGAAAAAAACAGCATGTGGATTCTGTTTTGTGGAATACTATTCATGAGCAGATGCAGAAAATGCCATGTAGTATTATAAACAGAACTCATCTGCATGATCGGATCATTCACACACAGATAGGGACGCTGGCTCTAAGGAGGGCAGGCAGTATGGACGTGGGCGATCCGGGGGCCAGGTACGAGATGAGTATCAGCAAGATTATGATGCTGGGAGCGGCATAATGAAATTGGTATGGAAAACTGGCACAGAACCAGTGAGTGATGAGAGCTCTGAAAAACTCCTTTGGTCTGCTGAATTTGCTGAAGAACATTACCCAAGGTCTTCAAACCAGCTTAGTTTTATGAAGGTTTGATGACTATCTCTACTGAGCTGGAAGCAAGGATAGAATTCAAAAGAATGCCTTTAATTCTAGTATTAGAATCCTGGCCATGTGTCAGGTTATCAGAATGATTTTCTGTGACCAGGTCAAAAACTGTGTTCCTTGGCAACAGATTTGATCTATAATGTTGATTAAAATACTATGCTTCTTTTAGGAAGACTGGAAAAATTTAGAAATTTGTTTTACCATGTTTGAGTCTTAAGTAAATTCATGATGTATATTGGGGCCTGGAATTACTGTTTTAAGTTTGCATGAGATAAAGTTTAATAAATGGAATTTTGCTATGTTGTATAGCTTTGTTCTAAATTAGGAATAGGTATTTCACACTGAATTTCTTTTCTATGAATTCTGATCTCTAAAGGAACCTTAGTAGTCAAGGAACCTTTCTAAATAGTTGGTACAAAAGCCAGCCTTAGACAGTCCCAGAGCACGCCAAGCTTCCATGCTTTACATATCAGGAAAGTAGGCACAGGGCTTGAAGAGTGTTTACTAAGTACATTTTTTCAAAAACTGTAAATATTATGCCTAAAGCTAAAAAAAAAAATAAGGGTTTGTAAAGTGGAGAACTTCAAATACTCTTAAGAGGTGGGAGAGACATTGTAACTGGGAAATGGGATGAAATACCAGAGACACAAGTTAAAACACTGCCTTAACATGATGAAGGTTGCTATCAGAGCCATCTGATTTATTCTTTTCATTTTCAGTGATCTTGGGAATGGAGTGGGTTTTAAAAAAGAGCTTGAAGACTGAGAGAATGCTTAAATAAAACAATCAGAAACTCCCTGCAGAAGATGACTATTCTAGCCAATTCTCATACTGAAGTCTGTTTTCTTTCCCAAATTGTGCTTACTGAGGTTCAAGCCTTGATAGTGAGCTGACAGTCTCTATAGAGAAGGGGGAGTCTAGAGAATTTATTTTGCATTCATAAGGCAAGAGGTGATTTCTCTCTAATGTTGTGAGCTTATTGCTCATTTAAAAGTGTTAAGTCGGCTCGGCGCC